AAAGCTCAGCGAAGCTAAGATGAAGGTCAGCTATAAGCTAAGATAAGCCTGAGCTAAGATGAAGCTAAGCTAAGCTAAGATGAAACAGGCTAAGCTAAGATGAGATAAGCAGGAGACTTAACTGGGGGAACCGCGGGGCGGATGCCGGGGGGACCGCCCGGGGCGTTTTACACTGCCTGGCCCTTTAAGCATAGAGAGTCAGAACCCTTCTAGGCAGAGCCTAGGTAGGGAACAAACGCGCCTGAAGACGCGACGGCGACGACGACGACGCCGAGGCCGACGACGGTCGACGACCACGACGCACGACGATAAACGATTCGCGTCGACACCGCCACCTGGATAAAGGGGGCGTGGAAGGAGGGGTAGAGGAGAAGGCCAGCGGCCTTTGGGATACCTGTCAGAACGCACAAGGTTCGTGGGCTGTCTGGCGTCTCGGTTGATTAATCTATATGCCCCCCCCCGTTTCGGTGACCCTTGGGCGCGTTTCGGAGTTTCCTCGGGGGCCCCGCGGGGCCGTCGAACCCCGAAAATGCCTTTCGAACATGGCTTGGGATTGTTTGGGGACCCTAGGTCTTGGGCGCATCTTAAGGCTGGCGGATATTCAGTGGCCGCTCGGGGCCACCTTTTTGAAGAAAAAAACATTGGGAATGTAACATTCCATGAAGTGCCCTATGTGGATGCGTGCATGGGATGAAGAGACGTTTTTGCTGTTAAACAACAACATATGGAACAACGCGTATGCAAACATAGCATTTCACAATCGGGCGATCGCTGCTGGTGCGCCAAAAATGGCAGGCGTTCAGCCGCAACCTCACACAATGGCGCAATGCAGCTTAAAGTTTGCCATCGTATTTTCCAATTTCGATGTCGCACAAAAAAGATCAACAAACTACAACAACTAGACAACAAAGGGCGCATATTAACGCAATGGTCGCACAAAGTACAACCATCGGTCTCTCTCGGCTTGTCGATGACTATGCCCGGGAGCGCCTCCTCCACCCCGAGCGCATCGCGCTCCGGAGCCGATCCAGCCGCATTGGGACCAGCAGCTCCTCCGCAGCCGAGGCCAGCTCGATGACTTGCTCGCGAAGCTGGATGGGGGCGGGGCTCATCGCGTACCGGAGGAAGGCGCGCTCGCGGGCGGGCATCTTTTTCGTGTAGAAGAAGACGGGGATGCTGCGCATGGAACTGGGCTGTCGGCCGGCCAATGCGCTGCGCAAGCGAGCACCCCGCTCGCGCCTCGCCACCAGCGGGGCTGTGGCGTCCCTGGTGCTCGACCCCGCCTAATTACGTGGGCGAGTCGCCCGTGGGGGGCTCCTCTCTGTGGGGCGCCTCGGTCGACCTCCAGGACGGCTTCTACCAGTTCTTGGCGCCGACGGTGTCACGCTACTTCGGCCTGGGGCGCGTCGAGCTCGCCGGTGACATCGGCGTTGATTCAGTCTACGACCCCGAGGTCGGGGGCCACGTCTCCGTCTCGCCGGACACCCCCCTCGAGGCGTGCTTCGGCGGGCTGCCGATGGGCTGGAGTTGGGCGCTCTGCTTCTGCCACAAGGCGCTGTCGCTTGCCTGCCGCCGCGCCCAGGAGGCGCTGGGGCTGCCGACCGTGCTGGTGGGTGACCGTCAGCCCCCTTCCCCCGCTCGGGGCCGGCGTCGCCGTCTGCGCGCCGTACGTGGACAACGCCGACGTCTTCGGGTCGGACAGGGGGACGGTCGCCGCGCTGCACCAGCAGGTGGTCGACGAGCTGGTTCGCGCGGGCTTCGTGGTCCACGAGCGGGTCGACCCGACGCAGGACTTCGAGGCCATCGGGTTGCTGTTCGACGGGGGCCGCCGCTGGGTGCGCCACAAGCCCGCGCGGCCATGGCGCCTCTGGTTCGCCCTCGGCGAGGTCGCCTGCAGGAGGTCGCTCAGCCGGGACCACGTGCGGCAGCTCCTCGGCCATCTCGTGCACCACTTCAGCCTGCGGCGTTGCGCTCTTTCCTGCTTCGGGGAAGCGTGCCGCTTCGTGGTTTCTGGTGGGAGTGGGGTGGTCAGACTGCCGTCTGCGGTGCTGGGCGAGCTGGCGGTTGCCCGCGGGCTCGTGCACTTCGCGCGCATGGGCGTCGCGGCGCCGACGCTCCCCCGCTGCTACTGCAGGGGCGCGTCGACCGAGGGGTACGCCATGCGCTGCACTGAGGCGTCGCCGGCTGAGCTTTGGCCGGTCGCCGTCTGGCGGGAGCGCTGGCGCTTCGTCGAGCCCGTGGACAACTTGGCCCAGGCCGACCTGGAGGCGCTGCGCGGGTGCGCGGTGGCCTCGCCCACCGCCGCTGGCTCGTTCTCAGAGCGGGTTGACAAGGAGCTGGAAACGGCGCTGCATCATGAGCTGGATGAGCGACCTGGCGCCGTGCGGGCTGGCGACCGGGGCCCTCCCAAGACGCCTCGCGTGCTGTGCGAGGTCACCGGGCTGGCCCCGAAGGTGCCCGACTCGTTCGTGGAGCCGCGGCGCTGGGGGCGTCTGGTCGCGGGGCGCTGGAGGCGGCAGGCCGCCGTCCACTGCAATGAGGCGCGCGCTGCGCTCCTGGGCCTGCGCCGCGAGCTCGAGCAGCCCAGCTCGCACGGGCACCGCGTTCTCAGCTCCGGGGGCAACCTTTCGGAGACCCTGGCGTTCGGTCGAGGACGAGCTCGAGATGCGGAGCTGCTGGGGCTGGCGCGTCGCGCCGCGGCCGCACAGCTCGCCGGGGCTCTACTGGCACCGGCGCTACGTTGAGACGGAGCGCAACCCCTCGGGCGAGAACTCGAGGCTGGCCTGCCAAGGCTGGCTGCGCCCTGGCCAGAGGGCGTCTGGCGCCGCCCTTGGCGGGCTGCCGCTCGCCGCCGCGGTGGGCCCCGAGTGGGGGGCCGCCGACCCGGGCCGCGGCCTGCCGCCTGCAGGACAGCGGTCTGGGACCCCGAGCGGTGCGCTCGAGCGGCTGCCGTCGGCGGCCGACGAGAGTGACTCGCCAGGGGCCGCGGCGCAGCCCGCCTGGGGCCCCGTCGCCGGGGCCGCTGGCCCTGCCGCCCACGGCCGGCGGCCCGCTTCTCGCCGAGCAGCCTGTCCGCCCGGGCCTCGCGCGCAGGAGGGGGGGGGGGGGGTCGGCGGGCTCCCGACGTCTCTTGGGCCCGTCCCGCCTTCCTGGAGCTGTTCGGGGGCTGCGGGCGCGCCGCGGCAGCCGTGGCCGAGCTGGGGCGTCGGGGTGCCTGTCGACTCTCGTCATGGGCGACATCATGATGTTCTTAATTGGAAAGTTGCTCTGAAATTGTGCGGTGGATTCGGGCGGGGGCCATCTGGGCCGTCCTGCTAGGCGCGCCGTGCACGGGGTGGACTCCCGCTCGGACGACCAGGTCGGCTCCTCCGCCCTCGACAAGGTGCGTCGACTTCACCGCGCGCATCCTCAATCTTTGCTATCGTATGGGCGTCCACGTGGTCCTCGAGAACCCCGCCAGATCGCGGCTCTACCAGCACCGAGGGATCTCTCGGGCCTTGGAGCGCTTGGGCGCGTCGCACCTTGTCTTCGACATGTGCGCGTTCGGCGCGCCCTGGAAGAAGCCGACGGCCATCGCCACCACTTTGCCCGGCGCAGGACGCCTCGCCTGGCGGTGCCCATGCCCCGGCGCGCCGCGCGTCGTGCTCCAGGGGAAGGTGCGGCTGCCGGGCCAGCGCTCGGAGTGGCGCACCGCCTGCGCGGCGGCGTATCCTCCTGAGCTGTGTCGTGCTCTGGCAGGTCTGCTTGGCGAGTGCGCGCCGCCGCGGACCTGGCGCCGCGGGCGGGGGGCCCTCCTCGACCCTTGCTGGGAGCGGCGTCTGGCGACCGCGGCGGGGGCTGAGTGCCGCTCAGACTGGCGAAGCGTGGAGCTCCCGGCAGTCGGCTCGCGGCGCCGGCTCGGCTGGGAGGGCGCGATCGAGCGCTGGGACGGGGGCCACTGGACCGCCGAGCTCGAGGGTTTTGCCGCCCATCGCCGAGCCCGACGAGCTGTGGCGAGAGCGGCGGCGCCCAGCGCCACGCGGGAGCGCCGCCACGGAGGCGAGCCCGGCGCGCGCCGCCGCGCGTCGGTCCGCCCAGCCACGGGGGCCGCCTGTTCGCGACTCATCGAGATGAGCGGCATCCACGCCGGGTTCATTGGCCAGCATATTTTTGTATTTGCTTTGGGGGATGTGCCGATCGATAGCTGGTACTCTGCAGCCTCGGAGCGCAAGTGGAAGAACAAGTGCGCGTGCGCCCCGAAATTGACGTCATGTTGCTTTCAGGCTCCACGGCGAGATTCCACGAAGCTGCTGGCGACAAACGCCCGGGAGGAGCGAGGGCCCTCCTTCGCATGTGCATTCGCAATCAGGTCGCAGGGTGCCACGCGCACTGTCAAGGCCGCATCGCCAGACATCCCACTGCTGGACCAACAGGGGAACTTTAGATTCGACAGTCAGGATATTTCCCACAGTCGCACCAAGTGCAGATGCCGCGTCGCACTGTGGAGTGGCTACGCCCCAGGTACGGACAGGGATGACAGACGTCTGCGAAGCGCCGCGCTGGGGGCCGACATCCAGCGGCATTTTGATTTCGAGTCGGAGGTGCAGCGGAGAACTCGTCGCATGGAACTCGCTCGCAAACCCGGCCGCAGCCGGTGCAAACGACCGAATGAGGTACTGGGAGGAGGCTAGCATGTCACGTCCGATGCCGCGGATACGCAGCCAGAGCTGCACGAGAAGGGCGAGGGCCCAGATGGCGACCCGCGGCATTTCAAGGCGGGTCTTGGCGAGTCGTATGTGAAGGAGATGGCCAGATGCATCGCCGCCGCCTGCAAGGTCTGCATTGAGGTGAACGCCAGTCCCGGGGAAATCCGAGAGGAGGCAACGCCTGTGCTCGAGCTGATCAGGCATGCGGGTTCAAACCCATGCGCCCGCCCAGGGTTGAGCGCTTTCAACATGGGCCCCCCTTTGTTGCGCATGCTTTCATGCATTGGCGTGGGCTCGCGGAGATTTGCGGGCTGGATGAATGAAAAGGGCGCCGCTGAAAGCATGCCGTGGGGGGGCGTGCCAACGTGCGCCCTACCTTGCGGCCTTCAAGTCTATTTCCCCGCAACGTCTCCTGATCCCAACGTCGCGCACGCCGAACCTCGGTTCAGCGCAAGGACGGCCCAGTGCATGGAGACGTTGCGGGAATGGAGCGAGATTGCCGCGATCGACCCCAGAGGAGTCCGCATGGGCGAGGCGGCCGCTTGCCGTGCCAGCGACGCCCCCAAGATATGGAATATAAGCTTGGTTGACGACTGGGAGAATATACAGGACTCGCTACTCTCGTCCACCGAGGATCACATCTTTGACAGGGCTACGGAGATTAACCACATGTGCGACATCGAGGACAGAATGGTCGCGCGTCCCCATTCTTTCGAGGCCAGTCAATCACGCCAGGAACCGATGAAAATCTGCCCAGACACGATCGAAAGTGGGCCGGTCGGAAGGGCTGTGAATTGTGCTATTCAAGTCGAATGCAATCCTTTTGCTGTCTTACATCCCGTCGACCCCGGAGTCGTTGGACAGGGGGCTGATGCCGGATGACCTCGCGCGCGCGCACAGCGGCGCGCGTGCCAATTCCAAGGCTTGGCTTGCAGCATCTATTCGCCGATCTCATTATGCTTAGCCTGCCAAGAGTTGCCTCGGTCGACCTGCAATGGGATGGCTCTTCGCCAGGGGCCCATGCGCGACTGACGGTGCGCAGGGGGCGCTAAGCGACCTTTTTGGTCTGACTGGAATGGCGGTCGATTTTCAGCATGAGCATGCCGTACTCGCCCTGCCGTTTGACCTGCCAACCGACTATGCGCGCTCGAAGAGGAACGCAGGCTGGAAGTACAATTCGCGCGCCATCAGCATAATCAGACTCGGCGCCGTCCTCCACGCGGGCGCGCTTGTCGCCTCCGAGGTCAGCGACGGTGGGCGGGCAAAGAACCGCAATTGGCGCGCCTGCGCAAGGGGCATATGTGTTCGAGGATTCTCACGGAGTGCCGCGGCAGCATGCCGCCTACTCCAACGCGGTGGGGCCCCTCGGAGGCGGGCTGGCCTTCGCGCGCGACTTCCAGCTCCTGGCTCCGCCGTCGGAAATTGGGGGCTCTGCGGCAGTGGGCGCGGAGAGGAGCGAACAATGTTGCTGTCCTCGCCCCCGAAAATTGGCGCGAGCCGCCCTCCGCCTCCACTTCGCCGCGCCGCCGCAGACGCGCGCCAGGGGATTGCGGTTGCACCGCCCCGAGGTTTCATGCGGCGACAACTTTGAGCTCGACTTCGCCGCCGTAGCGGGCCGGACCCCCTTTCCCCCGTCGTGGAGACGGGGCGTGGATGGCGCGAGACGGTCAAGGCTGTTCCCTGGAGGACTCAGGGCGAGGTGCTGCTGGAGGGTGGCAATTACGCTGCGCAGAGCGACGACCGCCGGGCACCTCGCGAGGTGCGTCTGCGTTTCTGCAGCGCTCGGCAGAAGGAACAGGTTTAAGAGATCCGCGATAGCAGGAGGCTGCCCATTGAGCGTCTTCGCGCTTTTGCTCGCGACAGCGGAGTTCCCTGGACTGGGGGCAAGTACTGGGGGGCGGAGTTGGAGACGGACCAGCAATCAACGGTATCATGTCCGTCCAAACGTGTACAAGTTGAGCATGCATTGCAAGCAATCGCAGATTGACGCGGAATTCTTCACCCCGGCGAATGTGGAAGTTGATGGTCGATGGGTACATCGCTCAATAAATGACCTTGTGAGGCGCAGATCTCAGAATCCACGACCCAGTGGGGGGGCGGCGAAGACGCGGGGCGAAGGGCCGAGGCGACCAATGACGATGGCGACGCCGCCCTCAACGAGGGGAACACGCACCCGCCCGCAATGGGCAAGGCATATCGAGAACGCATTGCCGCGATTCTGCGCGATGACGCGGGCGCTGAGACCATGGCATTCCGCGCGCACCTCCAGCGCGGGAAAGCGTCAGTGGTCGCGCTTGGGGCACCTGGGAACGGCGGGATTCTAGAGAGGGTGCTATGCAGACGCAAGACTCCAGTTCCCCTCCAAGGAGCTGGTCCCGTCCTTTCCCCCATATTCAGATTCATGGCCGCCTGATCCGCGCGATGGAGCGCCGCGTCGTCGGCCCCCGCCGACGGAGGAGACAGAGCCATTGACGAGAGAGCGCGTCGCAGAGGCCAGCCTGGCCATGTCCCGAATGGAACAAGTATACCTGCGTCTTCGACTCGGGTGTTGTGGTACGTCGTACAAGGAGGTGAATGGAGGGTCGAGGATGAGGCCGGTGGAATCATGCGATTATTGTGAGCATCCCAACACGGCATTGCACGTCGACCTATGCACTCCACATCAGCGTGCACATTGCCGCTGGGCCAACGCCCACCGACACAACGCTCCCGCCAAAGTCCTGGCGCATGAAAAGATGCCCTTCGAGCTTGGGCGTCAATCTGAGATTCGCGAGGGGGCGGCGGAGCTGAGCGGAGAAGTCGGGGGCCCAATGGCAACGTCAACGCATTCGGACTTCGCCCAGGGCGGGAGAGGACAACCGCACGTTGCGAGCGCGGAGGAGGGGGCCTGCGGCTGCGCCGCAGCCTCCCCGCCTGTCCCATTGCCCTCCGAATCTGCGACACCTGCGCGGGCTCAAGAGCCTCTCGATGACACGAACCCCAATCGCGGTCAGCTATCCATCCGAAATGGGCCAAACTTGGTGGATCTGGGCGCGTCCGACGAGGAGAACCCTCCGCCTCCGCCGCCTTCTGGCGCTGGAAGTTTGATTCAGATATTGCCCCTGGCCTGGGGGGGGGGCGCAGAGGACGAGATGTCGGGTGGTGCGGGAGAGAAACAAGATTCAAGATGATGCTGTGGAACGCCATGCCGAGGTTGTACCTGAACGCAAGCCCAAGCTAGTTCTCCTCGACATAATCTCCAAGAAGCTTCCTCACGCATTCATGTCCGAGTACTTCTGCCGCGGGGGGCCCCGACGCCGCCGACGAGGGGATAGGTGTCGATCAATGGGAAAATGAAAGCTGGGGGGCACGGCACACCTCGGGCATGAGCGCGCGGAGAAGGGCGAAGACGGTGCCCCGCCCATCGATGGAGACGACGACGCAGGTTTGCGGGCCGCCCACATTGAGCTGGCCCGGCAGCTGGAGGAGCATCGCGACTCTGGCCCTGAGTCCTTCGCAGACAAAGGAGAAAAGCGGGGCAGTGGTTTCCAGCAGGGAACGCTGGAGTGGTCACGTGATTTGGCGGGTGATGCGCCACTAGAGCTCCTGCGTCGCCTGTCCCCTGAGGACGGAGCACGGGCGCGCCGGTTCCTGCGCGCCCGCTACAACGCGGTTGAGCCGCGCTGCCTCCCGACGCTCGAGTTTGGCTTCATTTCGACGGACCTGACTGGTGAATTGAGCGCTTGCGTGGTACATGGGCGTGGAAGAAGCTGGGCGACTTGGCTCGCCCATCGTTCACCTAGCGGTGCATAGCGCAGCCCATGTCCGCAATTCAGGAGGATGGGTCCGTCACTGTCAAGATGCTGGACGGCGTGGGTTATGACAGAGCGCGGGCGCGCTTTATGCGCGCTCTTGCTCAACTACCGCGCCATGCTGTCCAGATCCTTGGCGCGAGCATGACGAACGCCGAAGATGGTCTCGCTGCTGGGCTAAGAAATTGGGGCGAGAGTTTCGGGCTCGAACCACCCGGCGTCGACTATGTCGAAAGGAACGCACCTATGGTGACGCCCATGGCGAGAGTGCCGCTGCTCTTCTTCGCTTGCAAGGTTCATTCGGTTTGAGTTGTTGACCCGAAACTCTTCCGCATCAGATATGACGCGGCAGCGAGGCACCCGCGCCAGGCACTTGTCATTCTATTGGGCGATGCCTCGGTGAGAAGGTTTACGACCGGGCATGTTGAGCCGCCGCAACGGGGCCTCCAGGGCGCGCGGCATTGCGGTTTCCTGACCTGCCTGCCGACCCAGCTTGGACCGCACCCTGCCCCAGAAGGCCCCATCGTCAGAGACTGGTCGCCAGGGTCTGGTGGAGCAGTCAGTCGAGCTAGAGCGGGTAGCGCAGGAAGGTCAATGCGGCGAAATGCATGGGCAGTTGCCGACGCGGCGTAGACCTGGAGGATGGGCGCGAACTGTAGGCATTGGATGCCAGCGTTTTCGGCCAGGAAGATCCGCATCCGCTTTCGGAGGCGCACGTGCTAACCTTCGAGCAACGCATCTTCGAGAACCAGGACATCTGGATTCAACATGATAGCTCCCTGGCAGCTACTTTCTGGTCCAAGTTGAGCGACATTCACCATAATGCGTCTTGCCGTATCGGGGATACAGCGAATTCGGATATCTTTGACTTTGGTTTTCGACCGTCGGTGCGCCGCGCTCAAAGTTTACCTCGATTCCGACGCGGCGTGCATAGACTGGGCCAAACAGCGCCAAGTCCTCGTTCGGATACCTGGTGACGGCGATGATGATGCGCTCGCTTCCGCTGCGAAGACGATTGCACCCTGCGCGCAGCATGTCTGGGATGACGGCCGCCTTCTGCGCTGCAACGATTGCCGCAATCGGCTGGGTGCACTGAGTTGCCTCGCGCGCAGGGCACCTGGTCAGCGCGGCACTTCTATCATTCACCCTGACATGAATTGGCAGAAAATTGACTGCAGGGAAATCGGTCTGGCCAAGCGGGATCGAGGGGGCCATGCCCCCCAACCCTATGGCGCAGCGCGCAGGGGGGAAACGGGCGGGCTATGATACCGACCGCGTGCAGGTACAAACACAGAGCAGGTAGAAAGACACCGGCGGCGAAGGTATCGGCGCTCGTAGAAACAACGCGCTGCAAGGTAATACCGCGCTGCGCAGTAATATCACGACGGTCTTTGCCAACCCGAGCGGCAGAATCTCTGCGAGCAGGAGATGGCCAAGAAGCTGGCTCACTGGTGGATCAGGCCCAGAACGTGCACCTCAAAGAGCCTGCTACTGGTAAGAATGCTGCCGCTCCTTCGTGGGTATGGCGGTTGTGCATTAGCAGGGGGATGCTGAATAGGGGCGGCTATGCCATTGTGGAACCCATCGACTGGGGCGATGATCATCTGGGGGGCCGCCGTCGCGAAGAGCCCAGCATGAGGTGGCCCGCGCGGCGCAGGTCGTCCTCGCGGAGTGCTGAAGTTGAACCGCCCAGTCATTTGAAAGCTGCAATGGGACAGGAAATGGCGGACTGATGGCCGCTGGCGGAATTCCCGAAAGCTCCGGGGCTGCCAGCGCGCGAAGCGAGGGCCCAGGCGCCGCCTGACTATGTCGGAGCAGGTGCTTCCTCTCGGGCGCAGTCTGCCAGAGGAGAAAAGAGGCCGAACTCTACAAGGCCTTGGGGCCGTCCAACGGCGGCAAGGTGGCCGGGAACGACGGCAAGGGAGCCAAGAGGCCAAGCAGTCGCGCGCCAGATGATCGACAGGAATCCAGGCGACGCCTTGCTGAGAACCCGACCCAGCATGACACGCGCTCGCGCTCGGGGGTTGCCTCTTCGGGCTCCGCCATGGCCGCGAGGCCTCCGGCTGCGAGAGACCTCCAGCTGGGCGCGGCCTGGCATGCTGAGGCCGGCGCCTCGCGGTACCTCGCGGACAATCCCCGCCCAAGGCGCGCGTGCGCCGACGACGAGAAGCATAATTCTGACTCCACTCCCCCGTGGCAGGCGAATGCCCAGAATTGGCGATCGTCTTGGAGCTGGACCTCAGGCGACTGGGCGCGGTGGCAACAGCTGCAGCCACGACGACTACAGTTGGGGTTGAGAGGAAGAGAACGAGGGGGGATCTGCGGCTATGCCGCATGTGCCTCCTCGAGGCGATCAAAGGCAGTTCGAATGCGTCCAGAACGGATGAGGCGGGCCGCCTGGCACTGATGCGCCGCGCGTTGAATGCCCCAGAGCGCTGTGAGCCAGGTAGCGGGGGCGCTGCCTGCAGGGCGCGGCGCGACTGGCCGCTTCATAAACACATTTTGGGGTGTTGACAAATCTTAACGCCCACCCATGCGAGTGGAGCTCGCTGGGGAAGCCGCGGGGGGAGTTGATTTAGTCGCACCCCTGCCATGACTCAGTTGCACGTGCTTAACTTTACTGCAGTTGTTCTGGCTGCGGTCACAAGATCGGGGGTGGCAGAGAGGGGGGCGACGACTAGGGGGGGGGGGATATCACGGCGTGGGCCATGATAATTCCAAAGATCTCATGGCACCCCTTCTTGTTTCATTGCGCCCCTGGCCCCCCCGCTGGGCCGCGCGCGCGCGCCGCCGGTCATGATTCGCACTCCTTCCTCTTGGACACCTCCCTCTTGGCCGCCCCCGACGCGAGGGGGCAGCGCCCGCTCGCCCGCGCGCCCGCCGGCCGGTTGGTCCTCCTCCGCAGACTTACCGTGGTCGTTGCCATAGATCAACGGCACGACATCGCACCGCGCCATGGCCACGAGGGGTACTTCACCGATGCGCCGCTTAGATCTGAGCAAGAAAGTACCACAATAACAAGATCAGCACGAATAGCAAATACACGCTTTGCCTTTTCAGCGGTCTGCGAAAGCACCCTGCCTGACGCAGAACTGGTAAGCTAATTCTAATGCGAGGAAGAATCTTCACAACATCAATACTCATACGACTAAGACGAATTTCCATGGTAAGACTAATGCCAGGAAGACGAATGCGAAGAAGAAGAGGGAGTGTCGCAGTAGTAGTAGTAGTAGTAGTAGTAGTAGTAGTAGGAGGAGGAGGAGGAGGAGGAGGAGGAGGAGGAGGAGGAGGAGGAGGAGGAGGAGGGGGCGTGGGGACATGAGGGGCGCGATAGTCTTTTGTAGAACATGCGGGGCCTACGGGGGGCGGCAGGCCCTGCTCCCCCCGGGCGCTTGTGCCCCCCTTGCCACGAAGAGCCGCGACGCGGCCAGGCTTGCGCGCAAGGCCTTCGACGGGCTCCGCGGAGGGCGGGATCCCCAGCGAGGCGCTTGCCGGGGTCTCCTGTTCCCCGTGCCCAGGGCCTCGTTGCGCTCAACTCCAGGTGTCCTGGCCCGCGCCAGGCCTTTTGTCTTGGCGGGCCCTGGGTTTGAAACCTGAGTTTGTTGATCTCTCGCCGGGGAAGTGGCGGGGTTTCTCTGCAGCCGTTCTCTTCCACTGCAAGATGTGCCTCGTCGGGGGGCAACCGTTTGAAGACCTTGAACTTGAACCATTCCGCAGAACATTATTCTCGGGGCTCCAACGCCAGGATCAACCTGAGTGTTGCGTCTTGGCGACCCTGAATCGAGCCAAAACGCCATCCCTGGGACTTCAACACCGCGAATGTTGGCAATTGTGGTGCTTCCATAATCCGGAATATTTCCCGAGCGCCAATTTTCGCACGGTGCTCGCGGGGATCCGCGGCACTTTTGCAGATTCGGAAAACCAATTTGCGCGGCGCTAAGGCGTGGGCCACATGTTGAAACGGACCGGCCCTCAATCCGCGAAGCTCTTGCACGCTTAAAACGAATGCGCACGGCGCTAAGTCGAGCGCCACATTTGGAAAACGACCCGCCCTCGCTTCGCGCAGTTGAAGCTACAAAATCGCATGCGCGCGGCCCTGGGGCGAGAAACGCACGTTGAAAACCGCTCGCCCTCATTCCGTGAAGCACTTGCATGTCTAATCGGGCGTGCGCGGCGCTACGGCGAGTGCCGCTTGTGGAAGACGCCCCGCCCTCACTGCGTAGCGCTCTTGCACATGTACATGCGAGTGTGCGCGGCGGTAAAGCGAGAGCCACATTTTGAAAACGACCCGCCCTCAACCCGCGAAGTCCTTCCAAAGGTTTAAGCGGATGTGCGCGGCGCTAAGTCGAGAGCTTCATTTTGAACACGATCCGCCTTCGATGCGCGAAGGTGCTGCCAATTTTCAAGTTTCAGGGCCATCCGCGTGGTAATCTCAGGCGAAACGCCTGGCCCGCCTTAAAAAACCAGCTGCGGGGCGCTACGGGGAAAATTTAGTCATGCGGAAACGGAGGGGAAGGTCGGGGGGCCGCAGGGGCGAGAGTGCCCGCATCCTCGTCCGGGAAAACCGACGATTGTTGCTTTGTGGGGCTATCTTGACATGGCCGCTGGAGGCTATTAGGGCGTCTTGGAGGTTGGAACCACTGCCCCTCTGTTATGGGGCGGTTGCATAGGAGAGGGAACAGAGGACAGAGCGTTTACACACTTTGGAGGAATTCGTGAATTCAGCATGGGTCGGGCTTGAAGTGCCTAGAAGAATGCGCGCGCCCCCGAATCGCAGGCATGTAGCTGTATGCGGGCCCGGGACAGTTTGATTCCCATCGTCGTCCTCGCCCTTGCTCCGTTCCCATTCCTTTCTTCCCTCCCCTGGATGGTGTCGAATTCGTCCGAGGCTCGGGGGGGCGCCCCTTCCTGCCCCCCTCATTGTTCCCCGTTCCTATTTGCCTCTCTGCTCCACCGTCCGTCGCCCTACCTCGCCCCCCCTCCCTGTTCGAATAGTGAGTCCTTGGTGCCGCGTGCCCGTGTCAGCGGCGCATCGCGTTTTCGATATCCGAGCACAGCGGCGCAAACGAACAGAGGGGATTGCCAGCGCGAGCGCCCGGGGAGCACTCCACGCGCGGGCGGCGCGGCCGCCGAGCACAGTCGCATCGCTAACATGTAAAGTATAAGTGCCTGCGGCAAGGTCAGCCCCCTTGCGAAGGCAGCGGTCTGTATGGCGACGCGTGGAGCTTTGAGCGTTAAGAGGTCCATGGCATGTGACACCTCGCGTGTTTTCGGATTGCTGCGCGGCGTTCTCCGGGGCCCTTCGAAGCCTCCCGGGGCGCCTCGGGCCGTTGGGGCCGCTTTGGCGCCGCGCTGCACCGCGGCAGCCTTTGGCCAGGAAGCGCGCATTTGCAGCTCACTCGGGGGCGCCCTGGGCCGGGGAAGTGCGCGTTTGCTCCCCCCCCTAGCTGGGCATGTCGACCTCGGTTTTGGGTAGGCAAAGTCGCGGCGCCCTCGTGGTGGCGAGCGTTCGCCTTTTTCAAAATGCACAGATCAAAGTGTGATCTGCGCGCGCAGCTTGCATCTTCAACTGTGTATTCTCGCATGTGGGCCCACTGTTTACACAGATCGTGGCGTGATCTGTGTGCGCAGATCTCGTTCCCACCTGCGCGTTAAGAGCGCGCCCCTCGCGGGTGGTGTTGACTGGGCCGGAACTTTCGCGCATCTCTCGAAGCTGGTCCAGGGGGGGCGTCGCGCGTGGTCGAAATGCACAGGTCGCGTCTCCAACTGTGCATCTGTTGCGCGCCGCTCGGTGGAGTGGTCACTGGGCGGGAGTTTTCGCGGATCTCCCGGCTGGTCCAGGAGGGGGTCGTGGTCTGGGCGCGCAAAGGCGCGGGGGGGTGGGGGCGGTGGGCCGCGGGAATGAAGGGGCCCGATAGGAGTGGTGGCCAAGGGGGCCAAGGATGAGCGGGGCTGGGCGAGAGCGGAGGCAACGAGCCCAGGAGGAGGTGTATCATCGGCGCCAGCATCGCGAGGACGAGGGAGGCGGGGGGGGGCAGAAGGCGGGGGCATGATGCGCAGTTGGGCGTAAAAGATGGGAGGAGGGCAGGCGCGTGGACGATGGGGGAACTAATCCGGCGGAAGAGGACGACGAGGAACGGCATGAATTGGCACACGGGGGCGACAGTGGATGAGGGGCATGATGAGGACCGGGGCAATCGGAGGGGCATGAGGAGGGTTGGGCCGAAGCGAAGGGATATTTGGAAAAGGCGGGGGATGGGGCGTGACTCTGAGGCGGGCACCAGCTAACGATTAGCTGAGCAGTTTTCTGCGCGTCCGTGCCCCCCCCCCCCAGTGCGCAGTGGCTGGTTGCAGAACTTCATGATATGGGTAATCTTGCGCTTCGTGCTTCCAGGCCAAAGGCTCGAGTCCACGACGCCCCGTGGCGTCGCGATGATGTCGCCCCGATTTGCCAGACCGCATATGCGCAGATACGCATGCTATGTGTTGCAACGTTTGCTTCATGACCCTCTCCGCAGTAGCAGGCCCACGTTGGAGTCCGACTTTGAGGCGTCATGGATTGCCTGGGAATTATCTTTGGCGTCTTGGGCCAATCGTTCGCCGATTCGGGCCCCTCCTGGGCCGTTTCGGGAGCCTCTTGGGGCGCCCTCGACCCTTCCGAGGTTCTTTCCGGCCCGGAGGCTGCCCGGGTGGCGCCCTGACCTGGGGCCCCGCCGCCCACCCCCCCCTCCGCCCAGCCGCGCCCCCCCCCCCCCCCCCGGCCCCTCCGCTTTTGGCGGGGAAGGGATCAAAGGGAAGGGGCTTCCCTTCGAGTCAGCTACGACTTTGCTCAAGTTCGGTCTGGCTTCGCTGCGGCTGGCGCACTGTAAGAGGAGGGCCCGGCGACTGCGACTGCGACGACGACGACGACGAGCTAAACACAACGACGACGACTAGGATTTTGATGACGACGACGAGTCAGACAGAACAGCGTCGTCCACGCGCCGACAGGGTCGGTGGATTTGTGCGTGCTTTTGCCGAGGGGCGATGGGGGCGCGAGCCTCAAGTGCTGCGCCTCCCGCAATGTCGTGAGCGATTGCGTTTCCCTAGTCGAGAGAGCTGGCACTTCTTCGTCACCGATGTCCCGCGCGCTGTCTGACGTGGTCGATTGCCCATGGGCATGATATATCCTCGCCGTGCTCGCGCGGCCAACGTCGCGCGAAAAGGCGCGCGTGCATCAGCGCCTCAAGGTAAAACGAGGTATCCCATTGTATCATCCAGTGCAAGCTCCAGGGCCATGGGCCCCCCTCGACCGACGGTCTGCTTCGCTCCTGCCTAGGTTTCCGAGGAGGGGGGGGGGGGGGAGGGGGGGGGGGCGCGGCTTGGACACGAGTTCTTTTGCACGACCTCCTCCATCAGGCGCGCCTCAGGTTCGATCGTCTCACCGTTAGGACATGGGTCGACGACTTGCGCGCCCGCATGGCGGGCTCGTCCGGATCCCTGATCAAGTCCTTCCCCGAGGCCACGAAGTATTTCAAGGCTGGGTTCGTAGATTTGGGGGGCAGGTTATCCCCCGAGCCGGCCCTCCTGTCGATTGACAATGACATCGGGAACCAGGCCCGGGACTCCCGCGAGCTCAACGGGATCCCTTTGAAGACCAAGTTGGGCACCAGGGACTTAGGCTTGGACTCCTCCGCGGGCAAGCGTAGGCCCCTCAAAGTCAGCAGGGCTCGGCAACGTCTGGGGCTTAAGAGGCGCGAGAATATCGAGAGGCTCCGGAAAGTGACCAAGAGTGCCTTTCGGTTGAATCACGCAGGGGCTCAGCCACAGCTCCACTGGGGCCCCGAGGGCCACGGGGCTGGGGCCCCGAGGGCCACGGGGCCCCCCCTGCGGAACTCAACCAACGCAGGAGGACAGCGGGAACCGCATTGGGGGCCAGTAAACCAGGTAGTTGTCTTTCCATCGCGTCGGTCTTTTCGAGATGCGGCTCGAGCTGGTCGCAATAGGGCCGCGCCTCAGAAACGGCGTCGCGGCAGCTGGGCCGAGGGTAGCTTCGAAGCTCCAGTGCCCCAGTCGATGGAACAACGTAGTCAGCCACCTCAGTGCCCTCGTCGGGGCCCTCCTCGACCTCGGGCGGGGCCCTGATTCAGTTTGGGCCTGGGCGAGCCCCGCCGGAGAAGTGTTTCAGGTAATGCGAAATAACTTCCAGGAGCAGGATTATTCCATGTGCAGGTCCTGCAGTTTCTCCAGCGCAGGGTATGGAGTGGGGCACAATGGGTGCCATGCAGCAGGAGGGGTCCAGGATGGATGTGACATCAGAAGTTCACGTTGGCAGGTCGAGAGATGGCACCGCGATGGGCATAATAACTTCGCAAAAGGCGCTCGAAGCAGTTGGCGCGTGCTCGGCCTGGAATCCCGGGCGCCGCTTCGAGGCAGGCCTCGGCGATGGCTCAGTCTGCCCGATGTGCGGGGATCGCCGCTGCGACGACTATCACAAGTTCCGGGGGTCCCCTCTACTCTTCCAGGCCGAACATCCCCTTATCCAGGCTGCAGATGATCTCGTGGCGACCGCTCAGGGGGGCGACCAGCCAGCATGTCTATGGCTCCGAGGGCTGGCTCATTCCAGCAGGTCTCGCTCTGAAGGCCGTTGAAGACCCCGCTCCCAAGCGCCCCGTCCTAGTTGGGGCTGGCGCCTTCCTGAATCCTCCAGAGGCGAGGGGCGGCTGGCGCCTCGGCCCCGTGGATGGTGCAGGGGGCGCCTTCTCGCCCGAACCCCGCCCCAGGCGAATAGGATGGGATGCTGGGGCTCGGGGCGAAGATTCGCATCCCCTCGGCGCTTTGCATGGGGATGTCGTAGGACTCCAGACAATCAATCGAGCCGAGCTCAAAGGGGCCATCGAGCTCCTCAGGCACGCTCCAGGGGACCTTATCGTGGTCACCGACTCCACCTATCTGGTCCGTGGGCACCGCAGGGGCCCCCGTAGGAGAGGTCGCTCTAATCTTAGGCTCTGGCTCGAGTACCGGCGTTTCCCAGGGGCCCGAGTGGGCAAAGTTGGATACTTCAAGGTGAAAAGCCATGCCGCTGACCCAGAGGTCAGAGCCCGTTTTCCCGCCTGGGCCTTGTTTGTCAATGATAAGGCCGACGAATTGGCTAGGGAGGCTGCCGCCACCGCCTGCTTGCAATGGACGCACTCGCCGAGCAGATTCGTGGGCGGCTGGCCGCAGTCCAGATGCTGTGGTGGACGCATTTTCCAGTTCTTGAGGCTCCCGCTGAGACCGAGAGAGCTCAGCGAAAGGAGCGCAGTGATAAAGCTTCCCAGTATCTTTTAGAGGTGCCCTCTCATTGGCCCGAGGTCCGCGAAGGCCAAGTTTCATGCGCCAGGCGCGGGAGGCAGACCCACAGGAGGTGTTGCGCCCGCTGGCTCCGTTCCTCATGCACAGATACGAGAGCAGCGAGTTCGTCGCAAGGCGCTGTGCGGGAGGTCGCCCGTGCTGACGCTGGAGGCCCCACCGTCCACCCCAGCCACCGACCCCGCCTTGCTGTGTGCAGCGGGGTCCTGTGGTGTCGGAGGCGTGGGTGCTGGCGGACCAGGGCCCCCAGGAAATTCAAGGAGCAGCGCGCCCCACCCCGCAACGCTCAGAGTGGGGGGCACAAGGCCATTTTGAAACTCGCCAAGGAGCAGCTCCCCCCAGGCCTCAAAGATAGGCCCAGAGGGAGCTCGTGGGCCCCAGTCGCCCCCCTAGTGTGTAGGGATCAGGACTGTCCGAGGGGGCGCGCGCGCGCGGGGGAGGAAGAGGAGGAGGAGGAGGAGGAGGAGGAGGAGGAGGAGGAGGAGGAGAAGGAGGAGGAGGAGGAGGAGGAGGAGGAGCCGCAGTCTCCCGCGGCCTCCCTGGCAGGAGCCGCGGGATCCGCAGCGGCGGCGCCGCCCTCCTTTGGGAGGCCCGAGACTCCGTGCCAGCCGCTGGCCAGCGCTGGCAGGGCCGGGTCGCGGGCTCCGCCCATAGTGCCAACTCCGACGGTCCGACGGCCTCCGGGACCGACAAGACCCGGGCGGCGCTTCTGTCAAGAAGTGCAAATTTGTAGGTTCAGGCCCATGGGTTGTCGACGGGTCCCGCTTTCAGCGTTCCGTCGGTATTTGCTTCATATTTCGGGCGGTGCTCTTTCCGATCCCTGGATCTGGCGTCAACGCTCCAGATCCGCGGATCCGCAAGTCCAAGTTACTACGTGTGCGTGGCTCTGGGCCTGTGAGGGTTGCCGTTTGCCTCGTCCTGGCAGAGGCTCTGAGGCCAGCGGCAGGACTGCGGCGAGAGCTGAAAGACGGCTGTTGCTGACGGGCGCCCCGAACAATTACGCCCCAGAAGCCGTGGCCCACTGATCCGTCGATCGGTCGAGATCGCAGCTGTCATCCGCGTTGTCGGTCAACGAAGTTCTGCGAGCTGTAGGATGGTTCGGGCCTGATGGAGTGGCCGTGTACCAGTCTGAGACAGGGTTGTGCTTCCATCGGCAACCCCCATCTGGGGCCTTTGTAGCAGCCAGCTCTCGTGTTTTCCAGATCGTACTGCGTCCGGTGCTCATGGATCTTTTGAAGCATCTGCATCTTGTTATGATTAGTGATTCGGCGACGGCGTGCCGTGGGGAAGTGTTGCTGATACAAGTGTCATGGTTTGCCTTCGTGCCTGCCGCCTTCCATCACCCCTCCCCCATCCTCGACTTTGCTCCATCCTCCCTCCCCTCCTGAGCCCGGAGACCGGCTGGATGTTTACGCCGGCTGCGCGGCACGCAGTCACGCCGAGGGGCCCGAGGCACAGAAGCGGCTTCCAGTGGCCCCCTCCTCCGCCTGGTCGTCCTCCCTGTTTCCTTCTCCTCGCCGACTCCCTTCCCGTCGTGCACGTGCACCCAAATGGACATATATATGTTGTGCACAGGCTCTGTCCAGGTCGTCGCGGAAACACCAGCTGTGCTGTACCGTATTGGCGCGGCACTCCTTGGGGCTTCTTCGACAACATGTTTTTGTGTTTTTCCATTCCCTCTGTGTCCCTGGCGCTTCGATCCTGGTCGCAGCCAGAGGTTTCGGCCAACGCGACCTGCATATTGTCCGTGTTTCCTGCTCATGCGGCTTAATAAGACAGCGTTCCTCACGGCGTTCAGCAATTGATAGTACATAATCCTTTTGTATCTCATTCTACCTGGGAAGCCATGGCGTCGACTCGCTCTCCCTCTTTCTTCCCTCCCCGCTCTCCCTCCCCCCCCAACTGAGGTCCTGCTCCTCAGCGGCCCATTCGAGGGTTTCAAAGGAGTGGTTCGCAAGGACCTCGGCTCCTCTGTGCTCGTGGAGCTGCCGAACAAGACGGAGGCGTCAGAGCAGGGGACCATAGGACGGGGAAGTTTGCACAAGTGTAGAAGAGGTGAGAGGGAGGAGGTGAGACGCGAAAGGGAGGAGGGAGAGGTGGGAAGCGGAGTAGAGGAAAGAGTTGGAATGGAGAGGGGACGGGGGGTGGAAGGGAAAGGGCGTATGAAGGTGGTGTTGGGGTGTGGGAGGGTACTCAACATCTGGAGAGGCGAGAGTGCGATAGAGAGGGAAACAACAGCGAAAGGGATGGACAGGGAATCTGGAAAGGAGGTATGTGGAGAGGATGTAGGGAGGTCGACGACGGCAGCGTATGGGGGGGGGAGTGTAAGAGTCTCTTCCAGGAAGACAGCTAAAGTTCTCCAGATCACTGCCCCTACTTGCTCCCTCCCTCCTCTCCCTTCCTTGCACTGGGGGCCGCTGAGGTGACGGTGCAGGAGGGCGCCTTCTGCCTGGCATGCGTGGCGCACAAGAGGAGGCCTGCGGCACTGCGCTCGGCCGCATGTTTCGGGTGATCCTTCGTGGGCCGAGTCGACCTCCTGGGGGGTGCCCGTCCTCGCGTCTTATTTTGCTCAATACGACGGCCGCTGCTCCCTCCCCGCAGGTGCCGCCGGAAAGTTCTCATATATTATCGGAGGTTGGGGGGAGAGATCGAAAGCTCACGGGGACCCCTCTGCTGGAACATCAGTTTCGGCTCGTATCGCACGTGCGAGCGAGGCGAACCTATACAAGGTCCGGCGCTCAAGGTGAGCGCCTATTGTGTCAGATGTTTCCCCGCCCCCCTGGGGCCGCGGCGGTGCTGTCGGGGTTGTCCCTTGGTTGTCCTGTGGCTGCCCCGCGATTGTCCCGTGGTCGGCCCGCGCGGTTGTCCCGTGGTTGCCTTGTGTCAGTGGTTGTCCCGCTGTTTCGGTGGGTGTCCTATCGTCCCGTTTTCGGTCGGGTCCATAGGGGGAGATACGGAGACAGATAGCCAGACTGGTTAGACAATTGAGAATAATGTTATCCAGTATGGGCCCCAACCCGTGTGTAAACTATCGGGTGGCAGCTATGTGGTGTGAGTGAACGATCTGCTAAGTGTGCAGTTCAAGCTATGTGGTGTAAGCCATGTCGTGTGCGCTAGTTGCTATGGGCTGGAGGTGAAAAGTATGAGGTGTGCGCTATGTGATGTAAGCTGTGTTGTGCAATCTAATATATGTGGTGCAAGCGACAGTGTGGCCGCAACTGGCTGTTACGTGGAGCATCCTTGCGACACCCACCCAGCGCACGAGGCGGTAACGAGGCGGCAGCGGGCGGCATGGGTTGCAACGAGACGGTCCGTCAGTGCGTGTTTGCCTTCACTCCTGTGTCCTTACCCAGGGTCCGTGAAGCAGCCTCCCCGGTTTTCGGAGTGGGCTGGTGTCGGCTCTTGCCGCTCGCTCCTGGAGTATGCTGCCCGAGCGGGCTTTAGCGACAGCAAGACCCACTTTCAGGACAACCGAGGGCAGGCAGGAGATCCTCCAGGTCTGGCCGTCGAGGGCTGCCGCCGTGGAGCTGGGTTCGGCGGTCCCCACAGGCTGCCGCAGACGGCGGGCGGGCGGGCGTCGGAGGGCAATCACGAGCTGGGCGGCAAACGTGCGAGGCCGGCGGAGCCGGCAGAGCTGGCGGAGTGCGAGGCCAGGGACGGCGAGGATCCTGGGGGGTTGGCGGGGGGGGCAGGGGCTGCAATTACCACCAGCCGGTTTCGTAAGCCGTATCCCGAGGGCCATGTTTGTATGGGTATCGTTCTGTGTCTTTCCGCATCGCTTTCAAGTTGCTCTACGCATGGTCGCTCTCCGGAATCAGCTGCGGTATCCTCGATGGGGCTGGGTTGCATCCAGCTGCCTGTGGCAAGTCCTGCCACAGTGCCAGCGCCGCACTCTGTGTTGCGACGCTTCTAGCCCTGCCCAGAAGGCCGTAAGATGTGACACATCTCGTCTCTCTTCCTTGATAGGCTGTGGGGCCGTCTTGGGGCCCTCTTAGGCCGTCTTGGGACGTCGGGGGCCCATCTCCGCCGTCTGGGGGGGGATCGTGGGGCTGGCTGCATTGGGGGCCTCTTGAGGCCCTCCTCTTGGGTCATCTTGGGGCCATTTGAGCTGCCATGGGCCCCTCTTGGGCCGTCTTGGGGCCGTCGTGGAGCTCTCCTGGGCCGTCTGTGCAGCTTCTTTGTGCCCTCATGGGACTCTTTTTGTTTCTCGATGGCTTGCTCCAACAACTCTCAGAGCCATCCTGAGCCGAGGGGCCTATGTAAGGTAGAGTTAACCTGGCGAAGGACCCAAACACATGCAGCTGCGGGTATCGCGTGCAGGTGAGGGCCTTCGGCCGCTGGGGCGTGCCGCACGCTATGCGGATGCTGCCGCTGGGGCCTTCGGTGGAGCTCCCTGCGGGGGCCACGAAGCGTGTGATGGGTGTGCCGAAGTGAACATGCGGAGGGCAGAGACAAGGATAGGAGGAGGGAAGACGGGGGAGGAGGAAGGAAGGAGATGCGGGACGCTGTCTCTTTAAAACGAGGACCCATCACCACAGGATGGTCGAAACATTCAGGCACACAACATAGATTATAGATGGCTCTTGGCCTTCCTTTGTGTGTGTGTCGTTGTGTGTCTTGAAAAGTGGGCCTGTCGAGGAGGGGATGATCCCTTGCAAGACCATCGAGAACTCTGTGCCTCAACGTGCCGGGAGGGCACACCTTTGGTCTTGTTTTGATGGGGAGGGTGTGTGGCGAGTGTGGTGGCGAAGTCTCCCTTTCGAGCGGGGTCTGCAGCAGCATCCATGGCTGTCCTTCCACCCCCTATCCTCTACCTACCCTCCCGCCTCCCACACCCTGCCCCCCCATTTCCCTGCACTGTCCTGCCCGCCTGCCCCGCCCCGTAACCCCCCCGGGGTCCCTGCCTTCACTTCTCTGAATCCCTCTGCCTGGCCCTCTGTCACTTCGTCCTCCGCGCATTCGCCATGTGGGTGCCATCGCGAATAACCGCGTGGTTCGCCAGGTTTCGCTGCGTACATGTCCCGCTCTGACCAGACCAGTTGGCAGGCCTGCCTGCCTCTGCTTCTGCCTATGTCGCCGTCGGGCTGACCAGAAGGCGGGTAACTGGCCGCGCGAAGTCTTTCTCTATTCCCAGTCCTCGCCCGGAAGGAGACATGCCAGGGTCCACGGCGCGCTGTGGCTCGGGTTCCTTTACTGCCTTGGGAGGCAAGCCGAGCAGGAAGAGCATGGGGAGTTGGAGGAGGGGAGGAGGAGGAGGAGGAGGAGGAGGAAAAGGAGGAGGAGGAGGGTCGACTCCGCCTGGCGACAGGGCATGCACATTTGGTTTGTGTCATCGCAGAATTCTTCTCGCAAGTATTAAATGGGGCTCTGGACCCGCCAGAAGAATGGAAGCTTACCAAATTTCGCGTGTTGTTCAAGAAGGGGGATCCGTCCCTACCAAAAAACTACAGACCTATAGCAATATTGCCCGTGATGGCGAAGTTGTTCAGCACAGTGTTGTACAACAGGCTTGCGGCCGCGATCGATTCGAAATTATCCAGAGAGCAGTTCGGGTTCAGACCACAGCGTGGTTGCGCAGACGCAATACACATAGTGAGAACGGTGATTGAAAAATCACTTGAATGTGGAGAGGAACTTTGGGTCGCTACTCTCGACGTTGAGAAAGCCTTCGATCGCGTGCACCATTCAGCATTATTTTCTGCCTTGCTGGATTCGGGTATTTCGATTTCAGCAGTTTGTGTATTGAGACGGCTGTATCACGGAGTCAGAGGATATATATTTTTTATGGGATGGGGCAGAGAGCAGACCATTTGATGTGCAGCGGGGTGTGAAGCAAGGGGACCCATTATCTCCGGCATTATTTAATCTGGTGTTGGACAAGGTCCTTTCCGAAGTGAGCAACACGTGGAATCGCAGAGGGTACGGCACGTTGGTGGGGCAAAGCATCAACGGCAAGTGCCTCACGCACGTAGCTTTTGCAGATGACCAAACGCTCATAGCCAGAAGCTGGATCTCCATGAGAAGAATGATTCTAATGCTCCGGGACGCTCTGGCGAAGGTGGGCCTGGACTTACATCCCGCCAAGTGCAAGGTCCAGACGAACCGGGCCGAGTTCACACGCAGGGGCTCCGCCGTGCTGACGGAGGGCTTTTCCGTAGAAGTATTGGAGCCGGGCGAACATTTCGAACTCTTGGGCACCAGCGTTTCTCTCGAGGACCCGACGGGCCAGGAAGTGGAACATCGCGTCGCTTTCGGGTGGCGCAAGTTCTGGGCAATGAAGAGGTTGCTTCTAAACCGGTCATATTCTTTGAGGAGGAGATTACGTTTATTTAATTCTACTGTCACAGAATGCGCTCTATGGGGATGCGAGTCGTGGACGCCCAGGGCAGAGGAGCTCAGGAAGCTGAACGTGGCTCAGAATTTGATGCTGTGGAAAATCGTTGGCTGTGGCCGCGCCGACGGGGAGCCGTGGGTTGACTGGGTCCAAAGAGCCACCCGGCGAGTGCGCCGCTTCGCCGAAAGTAGTGGTCTCAAAGAGTGGGCGCCAGAACATTTCCGAAGGAGATGGCTCTGGGCAGGGCGCGTGGCCCGGGCGAGCGCCATCGACTGGTTGAATGGTGTCACAACGTGGAGAGATTCTTCTTGGCAGGCTGCTTCTGGCGAGTGGGGCTCGTTTCGCCCGACGCGTCCGTCAAGTCGCAGGTGGATGCGTTTTGAAGACTCGGTGAGAAGATTTTGCCGAGACCGGGGGCTGGGGGAGTGGCAACTTCTTGCTGGGGGCGCAGATCATTGGGCAAGTCTAACGGCTGATTTTCTTTCATATTCGGTGAAGTCGCACTTCCACTCCTGAGGATTTCGCGTAGGGTCCTGCCCCTTGCGGGCCACCTTGACAGGACTTCACTTCACTTCACTTCACTTCACTTCGACTCCGCCTGGCGCGACATGCAAGTGGCATTCGGCAGCGAATCGCGCCCCAGTGGCTGGTGCAGCAGCCAATGGTGGGTGGAGTGGCGGCCAGGGGCACTGGGGGGCCACGACCACGACCACCTGGAGGTGGGCCGAACACCCCCCCGAGACCAATCCCTGGGCCGAACTTAGCTGAACCATCGCACAGGGCCGCCCCTCCGCAGCAGCGGGGGGGGCCTCAGCAGTCGAAGGTCGCCGTCTCCGCAGCAGCGGAGGCCTTGCCAGCGCATCGTGAGCGGCGGCGAGTCGCGCGCGCCGTCGGGCTCGGCGACCGCTGCCCGAGTGGAGAAGGAAAAAGAAACGGTGCTTTCATCGGTGCTGTCGTGGCCTCTTCTCTTTCATCGTTTTCTTCTTCCTCCCCCTGCGATCCCCCACCCAGCCATCGCATTTTATCGTCTCCAATCGCATCGGGGGCCCCCGCGGCAGAAGAGCACCCATAACGAGCCCCTCCGTGACGAAGGGGGGCCATCTTAGAGCCCTTTTGTGACAGAGGGGAGGCCAACAAACAAATGGTCACTTTAATGCGGCTTTTGTATTAGCTGGATCGGGCGCGCGGTGCACTTCCCGACGCAGATAGGCGAGGGCGGCGGTGCGCCGTCCTCGCGCGCCTGGAAAGGTGACCAGCCACCCCGCCGAGAGGATCTCGGGTGGCAGGCCCCAGGCACAGCACGGTGGGTTGAGGGCTAGGGGAAAGTGAGTGAGCCGCGGGGAGCACGCCGATGAGGGTGTTCCTCTCTCGCGGCTACGAACCCCCAACTCCACTGTTAGAGGATTGGCTTCTCAGGAACCTGACCCATAAAACGCCAGGGTCATCAGCATGAAGGGGTCGAGGCGCTGGGACTCGCCGGGGGTCCTCCCGCGACTCGTCCGAGGGATGAAATCCCGAGAGAAAAAGACGGCGGTTCCTCTTGGCCCTTTCGCTTTGCTGGTGACCAGGGTAAGAGGAGAGACGCTCAAATAAGAGCTGACCCGCCGCGCCCGTGGTGAGACATCACAAGACGCATAGAGGCAAACCTTCCCAGGGGCCACCCAAAGCCGATGGCCCCTGGCGGCCTGGGACGGGGCGGGTCCATTACGTGGCAGGGCCTCAGCTGGGATGGTTGCGCTTCCGAGAGAGGGCCTGGGCCGGTGAGATCCTGAGCCTTGGCAGGGCAAGCGTCAAGGGAGAGACGGCGACGGGTCTCCTCATGCCTAGAGTTTTTACAATGCAAACACCTCCGCATGCCCCGCTTGGGCACGGGGGCAAAAACATGCCGTCTGTGGGCCGACTGCTCGATTTCACCAGGGATGGGCCGGGCTAGCGGCCTAAACCGCTTGGGTCGCCTCCGTGGCCTAGTTTCGATACGGTGACCATCGAAAAAAAGACTGAAGGGCATGAACGCCCCCCCGCAACACGCGAAGGTGCTGCTTATGGCCTACCCTCATGGCCTGATTCGAGACCCTAGGGGCAACGTGTAAATCTCTACCGTTGCGGGCAGCAAGGTCAGCCCACCTGCTGCCCATGGCATCATTGCGCTGTCCACGCTGATGCCCCTTGACGAGGACCGCCCTGACATCTTCCCCCACCTCGTCCAGGACCTGCAGCTTGGTCCATATGCGCTCCCACAAATCGACGTTGACACGCCGCGGGGTGCAGCGCCAACTGGGTCCGAGGGCCAGGCCGTCCAGGAGGCCTGCGTAGCCCGCGTGGACCACAACGGAGGGGGGGGGGGGGCAAACAAGGAGAACCTGGTAGAAAGGAACAAGTTCGGCCCTGGGCGTGGTCTGTATGGGGCCAGACAGGGCCCCCCCAAACTAAAATGTCAACGCCGTGCCTCATGGGCCCCCGTAGCTGGCAGAAACCCCATCCAGCTCAGGCAGCCTCTGGCCAATGCCCAAATCTTCGAACAGGCCTCATCCGTGTATATAGCCCCTGTTATTCCTTGTGGGTCGTCGCATCGAATGTGCCAGCGGCTGGCATCATCGCGCGTCGGCAGCGACGGGAAACAGGATCGACTGACGAGCCCACGGGCCCCAAACAGGTTGTCGGGTGTTTCGGCAGGAAATTCCACAAAGCCGATCGAGCCACAGCGCCGACCCCTCGCATTCGCAAGGCGCGGGCAGCCCAATAGGATGCGGTATAAGTCACAACCCATCTGCCCACGCTTCGGGCAAGAGCTGTCGTCTCGATATCCGCAGGCCGCCAGTCTAGCAGGCATCCACATGCCCCCGCGTAGCCAAGCACGCAGAAGGCCTGCCTCCCTGTAGCTGGGACACCACGTCGCTCGTACATCAAGCTCATCGTCGTCAGCTTCATTAGGCGTGGTGTCAGGGGGCGCGTCATCATCATCGCCTGCGTCGGTAGGGTCGGGCACAGGTGCTCTCGAAAGGAGTTGTGTGATGGGCCCCGCCCAATATCCAATAGGTTCACGAGGTTTGGGGGGATCAGCAGGGAGCGGGCGTCGTCGATACCATCGTTCCCATAGTCGCCTGGCCCCGGCCTCTCCGAGCAAGCTGTTTGTAGTAGCAGGCGCCAAGATCCGTCCTCCAGGTGGTGCTGCTAGTAGTGGCCCATTGGAGGTCTTTGAGGGCAAGTAGGGCGGCTCCAGCAGGGCCATCGACATTTCTCCAGGGGGCCTTCGAGTGGTGCACCTTTTGGATTTGCCTCACCCAGGCAGCCTGAAGGATCCCTTTGGGACCATCGGGTCCCTCACCAGAAGGGCCCATTGAAATAGCGAGGCGGCCCATGCCTCAATCTGTGCGTCCGTGTACTGAGACCCCTGCGTGCAGGATGCTAGCCAACGGGAAGTAGAGGCCCCAGCCGAGTGCCATGCAACCCGCTGCGCCGACCGCATCTGTTCGACCAATCTGGATGGGGGCACCGTGCATGCCCAGTCCGCGCGTCATAGCAGGTGGGGGGGGGGGGGGCCTGCTTGTGAAACTGGCTGAGCAAGGAGCCAGCCTTGCGCAGTGCTTGCAGCTGAGGTCTGCGTCTAGCGACTCCACGCGCATGCTCCCGGAGGTTTGTGCACTTGATGGCACGGCCCGTGGCGACTTTTATCCCCGGGGCCTCCAGGGCCGAGACATAGCAATACCCAGGGTCCCGAAGATGATGAGCAGTCCATTGGCCCAATCTGGGCACGGAACTTGTGATCTTCATCTTGTGTCGTTGGCGGCAGTCCCAGGGGCCGAAGCGCATGCACGAGTAGACGTAGCGCCTCGACAGCCCACGTGCTCAAACTGCTGAGTCGTCCGATAGT